AGAGCGTTTGAAAAAGGAATGACTGCCGAAATGTATTTGCACCGTACTGAATAAATTATTTTGTGTGCTTGAATGTACCCTGTACTTGGCCCCTGAATATAACATGTGGCCCCTTAATGGCCCCTGTTACAGAAAAATCCTAGGACCGCCACTGGCAATATGGTAGTACAACATATATTGTGTTTAGATGTCAATATAAAAAAAAAACATATTTAAACACAACTATACCACTTCACTCTATAGATGTGATGCTGTGTATCTTTCTGTTTTTACAGTACTACATATAAGTTTTCTCAGAAGCCCAGTGTGTTGATTTTCCAGTTTCCTTCAATTGTTTAATAAATGTTCTGCAGGAAGAACCAGTTCACACATGACCAACATCCTGCTTGAGAACAACTGAAATGAATATAAACACGCCTTCTTTGACATACACCTGGATGGGTAAACAGAAACTAAACCGTACTCGAATGATAAACTTTGCAGCAGAACAGTTTATCTCAAAGTACATCTTGTGTAGTATCAAGAATGCCTGACCAGCAATGGCTTTCCAAACTAAAAGAAGTGATTGGAAAAAGTCCTTTGGCTTTAAACACAGGCATAGGTTTCGTCCTCTTGGGGCTGGAGAAGATGACAGAACTGGAATTTCAGTGTCCGTGCAATCCTTATAGGAATGCATGGTTTTCCTCAGCATTCTTTGTCATTCCGGCACTGATGTCTATTATTTTGATGCTGATCATAAATAAAGTCAGATGTGCTTCGTGCTTGGATTCAGCGGGAGGTAATAGATGTGCTTTGCGTTGGAAAAAGTGTGGCAAGCTGATGTCCTGCGTTACGCCAGCAGTGGTGTGGCTGACCCTGGTGTTCTTTGATGGCAATTACTACACCTGTGCAGCTACAAGCTGGGAAGGAGACTATGTCAACGTGGACAGTGGTGCCCCTCTGAAATGGTGTAAACCTTTGCAAGTGAATGAAGCTGAAATGGAGCAACTGAGGATTCTCTTTAAAGATTCCCTGTTTTGGTCTCAGGTAGGAACTCTGAAATAA